AAAGCCAGAGATCAATTGTTGATTAGCTGTAGTCGTCAAAAATCGTTAAGCTTTCCCGATTGGTTAGTTTATGAATTTATGGTGGCGGTATCGTTGTTGTTGTTGTCGGTTTCTTGTCGTTGTTGTTGGTTTCTTGTCGTTGTTGTTGTTGCTGTCACTTCCGCCACCACGAAGGTATGCCCGACATTTATTGCAGTGACGTAATAACTATTGCAATAGTGTTGGGCTGTCGTGAAAATCACTCGATTTTCAGCAGCCCATATAAAGAGAACCGCATCCAGTTGGTTCTTCAGTGTTTGTGGGTACTGTTCTCAATCAACCACCACCAGTCATCATTGGAGGTTTTGCTAAGTTTCAATACTTCGTTGTACTGAAGTTGTAAAAAAATAGTAGCTGAAATAAAAAAATAAAAAGAACTTCTGCTTTTTTAAATCTGCAAACAAAAAACTTTTTTTTTTTTAAATTTTTGTCTGTGCAATGATAATAATTTCTGCAATTTTTGATTGTACTTTTAAAGTTATTTTTGTCTATTAGTTGGTTTTTTTTTCTCTCTTTTATAATCTTTTTGATCATTCATTGAATGTTAATGAAAAGTTGAATTTTTTTCTCAACTATATATACGGTATAATAAAATCGGATATTTGTTACGTGGATTATGCGGACTTTACGAATGCTTACAAATACGGTGCTGCAAATAGTGTTCTTTGCTAAAAAATTTGGTTAAAAAAAATTTAGGTAAACTGTAGTTGCCAATGCTTAAAGTACTGTTACTGTTTGTCGTAAACTTTTTGAACCAAAAAACGTCAAGAAATTTCACTGAGATTTACTGTATTCATCAAAAAATTTTTTCTATTAATTATTGCTGAATTGTTCCTTTTTTTTTTTCAAATTTGTTTAACGATAGAAATGACATTTTTGAGGGGGAATATAAAATTAGATTAAGAATCTTCGGTCTCCAAGATTTAGCTAAAATCTGTTATTGCCTTGGTAACTGTTCTGTGCTTCTCTTAATCTGTCACTAAATCATTGTCAATTGAGAGTAAAGTTATGACTTATTAACTGAAAAAAAAAATTTATTAAGCTTTTTTTTTAGGTCTAACCAAAATTTATGCATTTGTTCTTTCTAAGCATCTTTATACTTTGTTCTCTTCTACCAACGTTTGGTTTTTTGTTTTTTTTTTTGATCAATTTTTAACTTTTTTTTTTTGTTGTAAGAAGGAACAAAAATTAGAAAGATAAAACATTAAATTTATTTTCTTCTATATAAGTTGAAAATAGAAAGCAAAGCAAAAAAAAAAAAGAAATTATGATTTTTATCTTCTGCATTTACTCGATTACATTCAAAACTGTTTGTTGATTTTATGACGCGCGTATGTTGGGAGGTTATACTGCTGGGCCAAATATAAAAGACAGAGACGTCGTCGTCTCTAATCAGTTCAGTTTTCTATGCATGTTTACAATGGCACTCTTTTTTTTGTTAGTACTTTTTTTTTTTTTTGATATTTTAATTGTTACCTGTTTCAAGCAATTTCTTTAGTTTATTAAATGAGAAAAATTAATTGAAAACAGCTGAAAATTTCTGATAGCTTTTTTTATTTATTCTCTCTCTCTTTTTTTTTTATATCTCAGCTTTTTTACACCTTCTGTTCTTTTTTTTTTTTTCAATATCAACTAGCTAAACTAGATAAAAATTTTGGCATAAATATGTATGTATATTTAAAGTTTCTATTTGTGTTTGAGTGTACGTATTTGTATGATAGGGTTAATGTATGTATGTGAAAAGGTTTTACTGAATCGATTGCCTGTGGTTGGCATTGAAAAAACCTAGTTATTCTGCATCGGCATTAAAGTTTCTTCTTACTGTTGATTTTCCTTACTTTTTTTTTTTTTGTTTTCAGTGTTATAGCTGTTGCTGTATAGCAGTAAATTCAACTAACCATGATTGGTATTTTGAATACTGGTGGCGAATATAGTGAATTTTACGCTGTCAATCCTGAAACAACATCGCATACCATATTCACTGTACGTTTATGCTATTTAAATATTCCTTATACAGTTTTATGAAAATTCAATTTGTTTTTTTTTCTTTATGATAAAATATAAATTTATGAGGCGGTAATTATGTCGTTGAGAAAAAAATATAGAAAAAAGTGGCTATGACAAAAAAAAATGAGTATAATTCTATGTCATTGAGTCTGTAGTGGAACAAAAAACAAAAAAACTTACCATCTTGGTTTATTGTTTGATTATTTTGATGGTGGAATGCTATGTGAGAAGGGATTAAATAATTATTTTTATGATGCCATTTATGACAGGCATTTTAGCCTGTTGAAGAAGTGTTGACGTATATTGTAGCTAAAAAATAATCATTTACTT